ATTTCAACTAGCCCCAAAACCTCCTTTGATTAGCAGGATTGATTACAATCCTTCTGTAATTTGAATTTCCCCCCAAAACAGCACTTGCCCATCAGGCAAGTTAAGAACAAAAATCACTAGCCCAATAGCAAAATCCGCTAAGCCCCGCGCTATCAGACAAGACTTTCTTTGCCCACTGACACCCCACTAGGGGAGGTCTCAGCTCCCAAAGTAGTAACCCAGCCTATACATGTAAGTCCTAAGAGTGACCAACAACAATAAAGGTAAAGAGAATTGATAAAAGGATCATCTCAGGGAAAATTCTTTGATCTGCTATCAAATTCTCTCAACTAATTCTTTAAGGAAATGTATGGAGAACAGTCTGAGTAATTTGTATGCCAATATTGGGGCTTAAAGTGTGAAATCACTGCACTTCATAACACTGAAAATGCATTCAATTGAAACGGGAACAGGAAAACATTCTGGATAATTCTGGAAAAGCCAGTCTGATAAAAAAAGTGAATGAATGAATGTTTTCAGAATAATGTGACATCAAATGATGACTAAAGAATTTTTCATATACATAATACAAGAAATTTTTGACAGTTTTGACTCAAAGATATTAGCTATAAAGTGAAGCTACTCTAAAATTCGAATTAAAATGAAGATTATGCATGTATGTATGTAAAACTCTAAGCATAATTTAAGCACTGGAAAAATTTTCTCACCACTGTGTGTCCAGAGGTTTTCATACCGAACAGCAAAATGGCAATAAGCGTAAACACCAACATCAAAGGGCCATACAGTTCACCAACTACAGTCTGTACAAAGCAAGTAATAAATAACATACTTATGAAAATGTTAACAGACTACTGGTACTTTAAAATTTTATTACTTACTTACTTACTAAACATTACTAATTACTGGAAAGGAGTCGGTATTTATTATGTCCCTACTAAATGAATGTATTTATAAATGCCAGAAAAGACCTGCCACAAAAAAGATAGGCAAAGGCCCGGTTGAACAAATCACACCATTTCAGAAACTTTGGACAGAAGATCCCACATCAAGGCAGGAATACATGATCACACACAATAATTATGTTACCTGAGGTGATGCTGTAGTTGGCATTTTGGGGATCAGTGAATAGAGCAACCTGGAAATAAAGTTTAAAATGCATACTGAGAGGTTGGAAAATAATGTCAATATGAGACTAATAACTTAATTTTTTAACTTTGATTTTATGGATGTCAATAAAAAGAGGTTTCACCTCACCTGAGCAAACAAATACGCAAACAAATGCAAAATATTATTTATTTATGAAATTGAAGCACCAATACAAGAATAGCATGTGCAAGTATTTTTCTTGCTTGGTCATAAAATACATGTAAGCCAAGTTGACTCAAATATGCTTTTTCAGATTTAGGTATAAGATGAATTCCAGACATTTGAATGAAACAAACTCTCACTGACAGGTTCTCATTGATGCACTCTTTGATCCAACATCACAATTTTTTTGTTCTGAACAATTAACTCTCTGTATGATAGACACAAAGCAACAATTATAAAATTGGGACAAAAACTAAATCAATTTATTGGACTGTCCACAACAAGCTTATTCTGATGCTCACAAATCAAAATTCTTCCTTCTAAAGTCAACTTTACAGTCTCGCTGCTATGTGTAAGTTCATTTTCTCAGAATAAATATTCCTTGTACTTGGATTGGTACTACAGTCACTCCAAAGGTAAATATAATATTATCTCTCTAATGCAAATGTTCATTAATGAATTTTTTTGATACACCCCACTATTATGGGCAGTCATGTTCACAAGAGTTTAATGATGAAAAGATACAAAATATATTATATAAACACCAATGAAATACCGGGTGAGCTTCTGCGCAAAAACATGATATCGTCACACATGAAAATAATATGTTATCTTCACATGTGAAAAGGTCACCCTTGCTATGGCTACAAAATAAATAGCCCCTTTCACATCAAAAAGCTATTAAAGTGAAATGGTTTGGTATTTCATTGGTGTTTATATAATAAATAGAACATTACAAGGTCGCTTGGAGATACAAAATTTCTCTTTGATCGAGTGGTAAAATATTTTTGAACACGAGAAGAGAAATTTCATATCTCCGCATGGCCATGTAATATCCTCTATGTATGACAGTATTGGTTAATTTAACACACAGGATAACACAACATACCTGTCACGGACCTGTACAGGCTCAACATCAAAGTATGGCCTGAGTATATCAATGTTAGCATACAGATCAAATGCTCTTTTGGCTGACTGCTTACCAGCCTGCCAAACCTACAAATTAAAAATCAAGGGTGACCGTTAACACTAAGGATTAATACATTTATATCCTTCTGTAAAATCATGTGTACAATGTACAATAAACCACACCTCTATACACTTGAGTTAGCTCCTTCTTTCTCACAAAATCTTGGCATGTCCAATACTCATTTTTCGCTAGTAGTTAAAATCAATATGATTTTGAATAATAACAAAACAAAAAACACTGAATTTATACCAAACAAAACAATGAAGGCCCCTTGACCTGAAATTCTTTCACCTTATTGAAACTTTCTAAGGTAAAAGGAGTATATGTACACTGTAGAGTACCTCAATTTACTAGGTTAGAACATATAAAACTAGATTTTAACATCTCTAAACAACACTTCTAAAACAAACATGTATGAAACACAAGTATTTCATCTGCTTACATATCCTCCAACTTCTTGCGCCATCCTCTCTCTGATTCTCTCCATAAATTCTGTCTCAGATACTCCCTGTCGACTAGGACTTCCTCCAGGGCTGCCAATTGAAAAAAAGCCATTCAAAAAAAGGGTTTTCTAAAAACACTCAACAACAAGTAGAATAATAAAATCTAGGTCAATTTTGCACTTGAACAAAATCCTAACTTAGCCCAAAAAACTCCGATAAGAGGCTCTTCAATGAACATATATTGGGGGTGGCTCGTACAAATCCTGTTGAACTTTTTTTCTTTTTTTTTTTTCTGTTGAACTTGTTATGAGGAAAATCACTTTGAATTCTTAACATTATACACTAGAAATATACATGACTTTTGTACCCTTTCTTGGGAAGGACAAGGGCTTTAGGAATAGGCCACAGAGTAGCTTGTTGTCTTCACTAAAAGATGCTTTGATAAATCATTACAAAGGGTGGTGGCCAAAGTATCAATTTCAAAAGAAAAGATTCCTGGTTTGAGTCCACACATAAAAATTGCTGTTATCTTTTTCAGTAACTGTTACTCTTTTCAAAAAGTACTGAAAACACAAAAACGTTGATCTGAGTCCAGCTACACGTAAGATTGACCCTTGTGGGAAAAACTTTTAAAAAAAATTTCTTAGAGCAGTCTGTTTCATCAATTTCTACTTTTCCCAAACACAACAGAACTAACCTTTCAACATTTCCAGGTTCTGACTGCAGATCATCAGTGTTTGCAATATCAATAACAGCAGAGGAGGTGTCCTGTGAGATTAAAATAATAACCAAATTGCATTTTATATTACATTTTATCTGTCCTTAGTTGTCTCTGTTTGCAAAAAAGAAATATCACCGTGATGTAAACAGCTGAGCTGGATTCACAGGAGAATATTACTTTCATCTACTGTAACTATAATTCACAGAGCAGGAAATGATTACTGAAATGCTATCAACACTTGGTCGCACCTTACTTGACCAATCAGATCAATAACCAGGAGTTCAATACCATCAAATGACGTGATACAACTCACTTTGACTCTGAAGATGACTACTGCACAGGTTGGCAAAACGTCAGTCACTGTCAACAACAGTCCTATTCAGGACTACATTCACTCAGACAATTATATTCGACCTACTTATGGAACACATGGTCTCTTAATGAGAATGAAGAGTGAGATAATAAAAATATTATTTCCCCCTCTAGTTAATTGTGTAGTAGTAAGGCATCTCCATAACACTGTTTTAACAAAGGATCACAAGTTTTTCAGTAGCTGGTCGTTTTGCCCTCTCATCATTTGGCTAATGTCGTTAGCAAAGTTCAACGGGAATATGCTTTAAATATAAAATTTTGGCTTTTTGCAAATGAGTCATCAGTATTTCCTTCATTTCTGGTCAGTAAAGTAAAAAATGAAAGTTTCCCTTGCACACACAACCTCGGTGAATGAACCAGACAAGTGTGGCAGTTGTGTACGAATGCATGTAAAAAACTCCAGGAATGCTGTTTGTGCCAATTGGGCACAATAATATAAAGCATTTTTTGTGCCCAATCAGGAGCCAGCATTCGCTTGACCATTTGGAAATGGTCTAGCAGGAGTCAGTACCCAGGGTCTCTTCCGCCCGAGCATGAAAACTTTCATCGCACCTTTTCTCCCAACCCAACTGACTGCCCCTGGGTCTCCGAGGGTGAACTTGGTACAGTGTGACATATCTTCATTTAATACCAAGAAGCTTTAATAATTATTTTCCAATTTATAAGTACTTAATCAATGATTCATTTTTTATTAAGGTTTATATTATTGAATTTTAAAGCTAATGACTTATTTACTTTACAATTTCAAAGCTAATCCCAAATACGGCACATGGGAGTATCACTGCAAAAGAAACTCAAGAGAAACTAAAAAAATTAAATACGAATTAGATATTACCAAAAATCAATAGTTTTCTGCCATGAACTGCTTGGTATGGCAAGCAAATTAAGCTTTTGAATTTTTCTGCCTCTTGTGACGTCTTTTATTTTGATAACTTTGCTCATGATTTTGGCCATGACGCAAGTCTTTTAAAAACTCCCTTTCCGTCTTATTGAATATAGAACTTAATATCATTGTTAAAATGGATTTACCTGAACTAGATACCAACTAGACGATCGACTCTCTTCGCTTGAAGCGGAACTGCTTTTATCCTCGTCGCCTAGCGTCGCCATATTGGATTGAAAAGAACGCTGGTGGTTGCAAAGGTTTCTGGACTCTTTATGCCCGCAAGGGACGGTGGGAGGAGTAAAGGCTTTTCAAGATGGCGGCTCTTCCGCAAAAGAAGTACTACCGCCAAAGAGCGCATGCCAACCCCATGGCGGATCACACACTTGAATAGTGAGTAGCCTTTGATTAACATGATTTATATGCTAGTTTTTGCTAAAACATTTTCGGTTTATCTCCGTAAGGAGGTAAAAAACCTGCCATCAACCACTAAAACAGGGTCAGGATCCCATGCCAAGAGTTTGGGGAATCCCACTGCCCGAGTAAGGTTCAAATCCCGTACCTCGTCAAAAAAGTTTGATTTTTCCCGAATCCTGCAGTATTCTTCCCGGATCCCGAGAATACTCTTCCAGAACCTGCTAAAAGCCATGAGTGGTGCATGTAGGGGACATTCCATTTTTTATTCGCACCCCCGCCCCCCGGAAGATGACCAGAATCCGAACCCTCCGATTTATGTCGACGTTCTATGAAAAAGGAAATTCAAAGGGTTCGTTCTCTGTGTGCTCCTTTGAAAAATTTGTCTGAAGGGTCAAAATTTTGTGGGCTTTTTGGAAGAAAAAATCTGAACTCCCCCCCACCCCCTATTCGAAAACCCCTCATCCTTAGGGGCCTGTGGATACAAAAAGGAACGTCCCTAGGCTGAAATGTTAGAAAAGTAATGATGTTTCTGCACAACCCCATTTTTCTCTTATTCCTACATTTTTTACTCAAACTCTATAAACACTTGCGAGTTAAATCAGGCTAATTTTACCCTCTTGTATGTGTACTAGTTAGATTAATCACATGCTGGAAATAATACTGTAAAATTTGCCGCCAATGTGGCTGGGTGTCCTTTATCTATAGCATTCCTTTGTGTTAACTTATATATCACAGTGTAGCATCATATTTGACACATTTAGTCCAGATTAGATAAGTTTACTGTTACTGTTCTAAGCATTAGGAAAATACCAAGACAAGACAAGACAAGATGATTTATTAAACAATGCAATCAGCCTTTAGGTCAGGACACTCAGCTGAAAAAGCCTTGATCAGACTCACGGATCAGATTCTAAAAAACATGGATAATGACGAATGACATGCTTGGTGGTTGTCTGGTGAAGGATGTTGAAGTTTTGAAATGATTGTTTGAGGTTGATTAAAATTAACAACATTATTTCCTCTTTTGCTGTTTCTAGCCCTGTTTCACCAGATGCCATGGATTGGCATAGTTTGTTTCCCGCTTTCTTTCCTGAGAAGGTTGAAACAGATGAAATCACACATTCAAGGTGCTCAAAAGTAGAGTTTGCAGACATTGGCTGTGGTTATGGTGGCTTGCTAGGTGGGACAATAAATAATGCTAAGTGGCATGTTTTCACTCTCTGTTAGCTGTATTAGTGCAATAAATGATAACAACATAATCCCAATACTTGCCTACCTGTTGGTTAATTTGTCTTTTTTGTCCTTTTCTTGTTTTTAGTTGATCTGTCACCAATGTTTCCAGAAACTTTGATGGTTGGAATGGAAATAAGACTCAAGGTCTGAAATGAGATAATCTGTTCTCTGAAACAAAGTGCTAGAGTTTGTCATTAAATAGTTACTGAATTAGTCTAGTCGCTCTCCTTCACAGCCCTTATTTCTTATCAGAGGTGGCCTCTCCTCTAAGCCTGGTGGTTTCTTGAAGTCTCCTTGCCTAACAACATGCTGTATTCTGTAAAATTCATTTTATCAATCAACGCTAATAAATGATGATGATTATGAATCCTACTCATAGATATAATATTCAATTACAACAATAATAAAAATTGTCGTAGTGTTCATCATCATCATCTACTGCTTATCCTGATGGACGTCGCGTCTTTGACCGCACAGGGGAAATGACTTTTGTTTCCGTTGTTATCAGTCTCAGATTGTTGGGATTAGTTGTTTCAGAAAGTAGGGTCCCTAGTCTTTCAAGATAGCTTGCCCCAACCAGTGTCCAAGGTAGAAGGATCCTATGCCTGGTGCCAGTTATGGGAGCCAACACTATGGATTATGACATCAGGTGCCTCCTCAACAACATCCATCACCCGCTGCCATGACTTCACGTAACCGTGATCGGGGGGCTGACTGGGTACTACACCATGCTCACAGGTGACCCATAGGCTAGCGGAGGGAAGGAATTGCCTTACTTCTCCCGTTGGTAGAGGATACCCCTACCCCACTAACCTAGTTGTAGTGTTAGGTAAAATATAATGTTTCTGCTTTTTCAAGTCTAGGTCAGTGACTATGTGAGTGACAGAGTGACAGCTTTAAGGAAAGCTCACCCAGGCAAATATCAGAACATTCATGTTATCAGAACAAATGCAATGAAGTATCTTCCAAACTACTTTCACAAGGGACAGGTGGGTCACAAAACCTCCAGTTTACACACTTTTTGCTGTAGAGTGAAAGCCTCCAAAAATCAAGAACAGTTAATGGCAGTGTTTGTTGGTGATGATGATGAAGATGATGGTGATGATGATGATGACAGATCAGCATGATCACAGTCAAACAGCATTACATCATTGTATTGTTTAGGCCGATGATAATGGACGTAACAAAATTACAGGCGAACCTCTCCACAACTGCCATTTTTTGTGCCTAGTTCATGCTTACTGTGTACCATAATCATGTTAAGCCAATCATATATAATGTATAGAGATAAAATGCACAAAAACTTGAATTATGTCTTGAATCAAAATGTTAACGTGACAAAACAAGCAATGTTTGCAACATTCGCTATAAGTATGGTAGACAATTAATTTGCTTACTGCAGCTGTATAAATGAAGCAAAATCAAAATATGAATGGATGAATTATGAATGAAAAACTTTATTTAAGTGTCTATGTTTTTAGCTGTAAGCTAATGGGGGACACAATGATTGCTGCGATTGATCATAAACATGCCAGTTCGTGTCAATTCTTGACTTTTTCATCAGTCGCTGAAAAAAACTGGCCGTTTTCATGAGGTTATTTTGGCAGTTGGGGACATGCATGAAGAGAGGTGGCCATTCCTTTTCTTGTAATCTAATATGCAACAATACTTATTTCATTTTTGCAGCTTAAAAAGATGTTTTTCTTGTTTCCTGATCCACATTTTAAACAAAAGAAGCACAAGTGGAGAATAATCAGGTGAAAATTCCATTTAATCTTTTTTTTTTTTTGTCATTTCACATGAGATTGTCATTTTCCACAAAATAATGTTAGCACTTTATTATTTTATTCTGTTGTATTCAGGGAATTGAGCCAATAATGATACTTTCTTTTTAGTCCCACCTTGCTGGCTGAATACGCATATGTTTTGGCAGTTGGGGTAAGTAAAACAGCAGTAATCTTTTTATTTATTATTTGTTTATTTATTTATTTGATTTGTTTAAGGTTACAATATTTTGATAGTACTTAAGAAATAATTACAATATTGAACAGGAGGTCTAATTCAAGCCTTTCTGAACTTTTTGAAAATTGTCAATTTACACCAATTTCATTTGATTACATAGACAATTTTGGCTAAGAAAATATGGTTTTACATCATCAATACTATATATAGGTGCTTACATGGAATATATATCAATAAAATATTGTACAAGTGTGGAATCACTGTTTCATTCTACCTCTTTACTCATAATAAATGTTGTCAATATAATGTTCTGTTGCCATACAATAAAACCCTGCAACTGAGAACCTGGATTTTTCCAAGTTTACCTTAACAGGTTCTTATATAAATGATAGTTAATTAGCCCAAGTTTAGGCTATTTAGGTTCTTATTTTCTGAAGAAAAAAAATACAATATGGCTAAGAGTGCACATTGCATTTACATTGCAGCTGTAGTGGTATGGCACCTATCTATTCAAAGGGGATTCTCACTTTTTGACTTTTTTTATTTTCAAAATCTCACTTGTTTAACTACAATTGACTCTCCATAATGTCAGGGATTCTCATAGTAAAAGGCTGAAGTTGATTGCCATTTGTTGGTCCTCAGAATAGACAGAATGTACTTTAATTACTCTCTTTTTATCATGATCTTTTTCTATTATATATATATTTTAATTCTTTTAAAACTGTTGACCACTATAAATGCATTGTAGTTTTATGACAACCACCAATGTCAATTATGTGTCTGCCTTGTCACTCATCTATAAATCAGGCTTTTCAATGAGTAATTAACGAAATTACTAAATAGATACAAACTAGAGTGCATCTGGTTTTGTATTCTTCTATTCATTGCTTTTTTCTGTAACATAATTTTTTTTCTCTTTTATTGTGGCCGTCTCAACTAACTCAGAAGCTAATTACCCCTATAAAGCATTGTCCTTTTATAACTGGAAGATGTTGAAGTTGTAAGTAGTAGTTGTTGTTATTGACAGTAAAGAACCGTGCCTTGTTGTTTCTGTGTTTTAGGGTCTTGTGTACACAATAACTGATGTACCTGACTTGTGTGATTGGATGAAAAAGCACTTCACAGAACATCCATTATTTGAAGAAGTCAAAGAAGATGAGCTGGTAAAAAATGCCTTTTGTATCTAGCCTCCCTGGCTATCTTAACATCATTAGAATTTATCATTCACGGCTTTCTCAAAATTGGGACAGGTGGTTCTAAAAGGGATGATGATAACCCAGGACCAGTGCAAACTTTGAATTCAAATCAGAGCTCTTACATAGAAATTCACGTAAAATATATTTGCGTTTAATTTGACATGTCGATATTCTAAAAATGACAAGTTGAGATTGACTGGGAAAATGCCTTTGATGAAAAGAAGGGAAAGGGGATTAACATTAAACCCCGGCTAAGCAATAATTGGCCTATGAACAACTCCTCATCACTAGAGATGTTTTGCACGATAGAGACTCTCCCGCGACATATCTTTAGTGGCAATAGTTGTTTGTCAGCCAATTAGTGCATATGGTCATTTTAAAGCGTCCAAACATCAAATTGGTCCCTGGAGTCTTAAAGCAATTTTCCCTTTGCCTCCGACTTGCTAAATAATGTGACTGCTTGTTTGATGATGGCACAAGACTAAAGAACTTCCTAATTATATGCAGTCTGTCTCTTGAATGACCGAACATCCAAAAGTAGGCGGTCTTTTAAGGCAAGTGATTTCTTCCCAAGAACATCTTGATATGAGGGTCCCTAACTCATCCACTGGTCTCCTTCTTGTCTCTCTCTCTCTCTGTCTGAAACATTAATAATAAGCGAGTGGGAGAAGCAAGTGGGGGAGGGAGAGGCATGCGTAGTAGTCAGAGATGGACCCACATTTGAGTTTACATTTAAGTAGATCATAGCAGTAGTGTTGAGTTCTATCAATAAGCAGTGACAGCCAGCAGAAAGTGTCCACTGCTTTGCCTAGTTTGCTACTATTTATTGAAGAATATTGAGAAAGATTTATGCCAACCCTGTTGATACAATTGGTTACCCCACTCAAACCAGCTGCCTACTTCAAATTTCATTAAAACCCAGAGAGTCTTTATTGATTCAATTGCACTTTTTTCTTTAAGGCACAGGATCCAGTGGTAGAAAAATTGTACGAGAGCACTGAGGAGGGACAAAAGGTAACAAGGAACAGTGGAGTCAAACTTGTGGCTGTGTTTCGGCGTATCCAGGATTCGTATGGTCAGTAAAGTGGATCGGTTTGTCCGATCGGTTTTAAACTGGCTCCTGGTAAGACAGTATCCTGGACAGAGAAGACTCTTTAGGAAGCTTTGCTTTCAAAAGTGCCATCTTAAATGTAAGCCATTGCCAAAGGGAGCTAGGAAAAGGCAAGTCCACACAGAAGAAGAGCCACTCAGCCTTGGACAGAACGGGATATATTCAATCATAGCCCTCGGTATTTTGCCTATTGTTGGCAACAAATCCGCATGACAGGGATAAAAATAATTTTTCCGGTTTAGTTATCATAAAAAGGGGAGAGAAGGGTAAAATCTTTTTCATAATGACTGTTCAACAAGGCCGGGTCCAATAAGAAATGGAAGCGGAAGACAACCCTGTCAAGCCAATACAGCAGTTTATTAAAGAGTCGGGCTTCTTGATCTCTGCTCAGTTAAGGCCTCTTTTTGCACTTTCTTGAGGCTCCCTCTTTTTTAAATTTAAATTTTATTTTTGAATTACAATCTCTACTGTGGGCGAGACAAATTTTTGCCTGTTTTTCACTGTGTTTTTTGGAGACTAAATACTTGTCGACGGATTCGCTTTTCTCCTGTGAAAGTTAAAGCTCAAATTTTAAGAAACGACCAAACCCTGAGGCTGGATGAAATCTGCAAAGACTTAAACATTAGACACAAAACAAAGAGTAAGTGTATTACTTTTATTTAATATGACTCCAGATAAAACATCCAGACAGTTCCAGAGCACGTAGAGAACGTCGTTTCTTTCATGACACTGAGGCTTGGATGCGCGTCCTTTTTCTTAAATAACCCGGCATTTTTTAATACCCCCAGCAATCCGTGGGGAAACTCATATTCCTTGTATTGTCTACTCGGGCCCTTCACGGTGCTGTTGAAATGACCTCACAAATTCGGGGTAGTCGATAAAGCCATCGTCATCGTAGTCCCGATCCTGTAAGATCGTATCCACAAAATCCGCAAATTCATTCTCAGGAATCGACGAGTTTTCTTGACCTAAGATGAGAAGAAAAATTAATAACGTGAAACAGTGATTAAATTCAGTACAACGCCATTTCCTTTTATATTCTCTTAATTTCAATACCAATTTTTTAGGGGGGGGGATATGTTAGAAAGTCCATTCTATGAAAGGACGTCAATTAGTTGAACGCTTGAGCAAATTAACCGTCTTTCTGCAATTTAAAATCGTTTTGTCATATTCTCACACGGCAAATGCAGCCGCATAAAAGTGACAAATGTTAGACCGAACATTTCGCAACCCCCAAACTCATACCAGATTCCCAAAATAATGATGCACAGGCTTCTAACTAAGGACCTGCCTACATTACCAGCTGTTTGGTGCACCGTACGTTTCTTCGCGCGTACCACCATGTTGCGGGAAGAATGCAAACCTAGAATCTTGGACAGACTAAAATGGAACAGCAAAGCCCCATCCCCGAAATCAAGAATGAAGCCACGCGAAAGCCAAAATGCGTCATTTTAAATAGGACCTCTGTTGGGCATGTGGTGCTGCACCCGGCGATCTAAGTGCCTTCCCGAAGAGTTTTCCTGTCACCTTCAAATAGCAGGTCTCCCGGATATCTGCTGCCAGGTGTAAATAAGCAATACCTTCCAGACGAGTGCAGTCAGCCGACTGTTAAATGGACCCCCCCTGGATGTTTGCTACTGCTACCCCACCATTCCCCCCCGCCTTGAGTGTTGGTGCCCTACGGCCCAAGATATTACCTTCTTCGTGTGAGTGATGGTGATGAAACAGCCCATGGAGTATTTCCAGTCCATCTAACTTGCTGTTGTTGTCGTAATCATGCATCAAGAAAAACTGCGCTTCATTGCTGGTTTCCTACTCGAAAAGCATAACATCAAAATGGACAAATGTAATAAATAATCCGGAAGCGAAGATGCCTACGAACAGGCAGCACAGTGGCCGATCAGTATGCGCAATACCACTGGGGACGTTCTAATCTAAGTAATGACACCAGATCTGAAAACGGGCATGGATGTTAGAGGCCAAGTCTGAAAACGGGTGTGAAAAATGACATTTTTTTTGTTTTGAAATAGGAATAAGAATTTTAAGGGACAAGTAGGTTCCAACACTGGCCGTTTTCACACTAGTCTGAGACGGATAATCCATCTTCAAAATCTGTCAAAATTGGCGGATGAACAGATGTATAAAAGCAGGCGGATTGTTCATGAAAAATTAAAACCGTTCCATTTTCAAATTAAGTTGTATTATCCGTCTGGCGCGAATTATCCAACGGATAGTCAGTCTCCAGTGTGAAAACGGCTACAAACAACGCTTAGGATCACGATCGAAATCCACTAACTTGAGGGAGGTTCGTAATATACTAATCAACCAAGGTGCTTCTGGTAGTGTTACACAGCCAATCAACCCCATCGCCCAATGAAGTCTAGCAGCAAGCGTTCGAAACGTTGCGAGGCAAATAAAAAACGGGCCCAATCAAAAACAAGCAGAGTACTTTTACTTTCGCCACACCTGACGAAGCTACAGAAACAGGTATAAGCTGCGAATTCAGAGATACGCGTGACAGTTGATTTTGCCGCCATACGTGAACGACTAAGGTCGTTTGTCAAACATAAAAGGTGAACTCACGTGTTGTCATTCCTGAGCGTTTGGTAGGCCAAAGATAGGCCCAATAATGGTGTTCTCTGTCAACCAAAAAGGAGAAATTTTCGTTCGCGGAAAGTCAATCAGTGAAAGTTCTTTCGGTCTCAGCCTTCTCGTGCTATATATAAACTCTGACCACTGTGATGCGCGAACATCGAAGCCAGCAATGAGAAAAGAATGTGAAGTTCACCTTTTTGGTTTGATACACAAAGCCACATGACCTATCAAAAACGTTAACGTCTGGCGCCAAAATTAAAATCAAAATGTCACGCTTATGTTTGAATTCGTGGTCTACCTGTTTCGGTATTAAAGGTGCGTTCCTTTGAGATGATCCGGATTAGGATCAGTGATCCGAGATCACTGGGATCATTGTAGATCAAATGAAACGATGAATCCACTCTGAACAAGGATTCACCGGTTCATTTGATCTACCATGATCCGAATCATTCCAAAGGAACGCACCCTTTGGCTTTAAGAAGTTTCCGAAAGCTTTTGTGGGTGTTATTTTTCACCCAAAACCTAAGAGTGAGTTCCGCATCAGGATTAATGATCCAAGTGACCCCTGACATTTATTAGTTTGCATTTTGCTATCATTCATAGTCTGCAGAGAAGGATGATGCGTAGGCTGGGTGGCAAGCGTTTCCGCGCGTGTTCTTTATGAAAACGGACACTCGCAAGAGTCTCTCGTTCCCATCATATCTACATCCTTCCCGTGATGCCCTGTAGTGGTGGCGACGAGTACCCCTTTGAGGATAGGTCACATATTGTTCTCAAGAGGATTTGCCCTTTGTCTTTTTATCAAATGCATGTGAGAGTGAATAATTAAGGCGAAATTTTAATAAAACAATAATCTAGAACAGTATCACATGCTCTGCTAATGAGAGATATAGAGGCCATTGCTTGGCACATGTTCAGAAGCCCATCACGAGAGAGAGAAAAGTCAAAGGCTGATCAATTTGAACTGAAAGCCACACTTACATTTAGAATTTTATCAGCTGCTTCTTCGCCAAGTCCCATTTCTTCCATTAGGTGCTCTTTAAGATGGCTATCAAAATAAAACGTCCCATAACTAACGAGCTGGTTTAGTTTGATACATAAAGAGTCCATAAGTTTCTATAGGAGCTGTCCTACTGACAAAATGATCATGATAACGATAGAGATCTAAAGCGGTAATTAGACAACCTTTTTCCATTCACTTTATTGTGTCGATAAGACATACGGCACAATAATTAGCACTGGGCATGATTTATCAGTAGAGAAACCAAACCGCTGTCTGGATTCATTTTTCGATGTCTTTCAGTCTGAATCGTCTGGAAGACGACTTTTCGTCATGCGGTAGTTACTCGGGCTGGCATTTCCCAAATTAATTTTTGACGTATAAAAATAGATTATCGTATTATAAAGAACAAAAAGTTCTGCTGAATTGGTAAGCATAAACTGTGAAACAAACACGTATCCAGTCTTTCAAACTGAATGCAGTGTAGGACTTAAAGTGCAAAAATATATGTGATGACAATCAAAATTAAGATAATTGTCTCGACAAATCCCTTTCAATAAGGCAGGTTTTTTATATTTGTTGCGTTCATTCAGCCGTTTAATGCAACTTGTAAATAACTTGTGACCGGCGCCAAGTATAAAAACGTACTGATTTTAAGAGTCGCCGTTTGCATATTAAGTTTCAGGCATCCGTAGATTATAATTGATACTTACTGTATATCTTTCGTTTGATTTTCCAAAAACTTCTGCGCGCTCTCTCGGTCTTGAGAAAGCTTTCCTGGTACCGCCATATAAAGCAAAAAAGCGAGCCACCAAATGAACACTTTTGATTTACAACGCGGAAGCGTTGAAATCGCTAACTGATCCATGGAGAATAGAAAATGGTTCATTCTTCAAGCGCTCGACCGGCTAAAGCGTGCGAGCATCAGAAGAGAGCTGAACGGTCGTGAAGATTTTTGGTTTATCATGAATCACTTTTAGCATTTTTAAAAACATTTAAATGCATTCGCAACTTCGTGGAAGCCATTCACGAGCGTGGTTTATCCAGACTGGCAGGTGTACTGACGAATTAAACCAATCAGCGATCGCCCGGTCATCGTACATTTTGTCACATGGCTTCATTGAAAGCAGTAACTGTTGTAATCGTTTAAAAACACTGTTTCATCGAGATTAACTCAATAAAAAAGAAAAAAACACTAGAAAAATTCCTTCTTAATAATGAAAATAGAAAGTGTTTTTATCATTGACAGTTTCAGAGCACACCGAGTTCGTTTTGTCTTTTTGGTTTTGAAGTTCAGTCCTGATCACTTGTCTTTCCGACATCAAATGGCTACTTTCTATATTATTTATTCTTAACATCTGTTGATGTCCAAATGTGAAATGAAAGTCGAAACCAACAATGCATATAAGAAATGAATATACCCAGGAACACGCGCACGCCGGTGAAAAACTAACCCATGATGCAGGGAAAGAAATGCGTTATAATTTCATTCTAATTCGTCGGTTAAATTTCCGTTGCTAATAAATAAATTACGAAATAAATTATCTGGTGACAGCCAATATCAACAAAACCGGAATTTTAACTTTTATACTACTACATAAGAAATTTCTGCAATTTGATTGGCTTAGAGCAGTGGTATTTCAGCTTAATTTGAAATACCTACATGTGAAAATTACAACCTTTTGCTGGTAGTAGTATAAACAAATAATAGCATGATTTGTACGTGATTTTTGGCATAAATACCACTCGTGATATTTCAAAATTGTCTCAAATGTCACTCGCCTAACGGCTCGTGAACTTACGTATAACAATTTTGAAATATCACTCGTGGNCGGCGGGAAAGCGCGCGGAAAGGACTAAACTCGACTTCCGGTGCCCAATTTGCCGCTCTGCCATTGGTCAAGCCAGTTGTTTGATTTGTGCGCGCTGTCGTCAACTGACGTCCCGGTTCTGTTGCTAAATCAGCGTTATCAGTCCTAAAGCGTGTGCAAAGATGGCGGTCATCGTGATTACAAGGTCCATTTAGTTACCAAAGAATATACAGACAATCCTGAATAGAGTCACTCAGACTAAAGTGGGAAATAGTTGGGAACTTATCCCTCAAATAATGTAGTCTTTCAAACTATTAAAGAGAAAAAAATACAAGAAACTATAGAGAACAAAATAGAATAGATTATCCAAGTAAACATTTACAATTTTTAAATCAGTTTGCAACAGCCAAAGTAGCAAAGCTTTCGAGATGGCTGTTGCTTATTTACTAATTCACACGGCAAAAGAAGTTATAAAAACGCGGAAATGGACATACTCGATGGCGGGCAAAAACTCACTTGTCCACGGCTGTTTCACAGTTAGCTGCTTGTTTTCTGTAACCATTCTTTATCCTAGACGTTCTTCTCGGATCCTTTCTTGCGTAGACATTTGCAAGAGCGGGAGCTCTTGTAAAACATGGCCGACCGCCATTATGCTGTAGAATGGAGACTATCGAACAGACCCAACCTTTTAATAAGCAACTAATTGCTTCATAGGCAAGGTCCCCAAATGTCCCATAACGCAATTCAAGACAGAATCGACATAGTCTCACGCGCAACCTTAACATAGTCTATAGATCATCCAGGAGTTTGATTCGTTCTGAATAATGTGATCTTATGTGGAATCCCATCCAACAAAGTCACGGTTGTTAAGAAATTTGTAAGTCTTTTGTATCAAAACATTTTATTTATTTTATTTCAAATAATATTTAGTCAGGGGTGCCTAGTTCAGCGGGGCTGGTCTGAATGGGGCCCTGATAACAAAAAAAAAAAAAAAAAACCAAACAAGAAAAATAAAGAAAAAAAACGGAAGAACTAAGTATAAAAAAAGTAAGGGAGGCTTAATTAGGCTTGGATCTAAAAGTGCCTTTTTCGACAAAAAGAAAACTTATTAACATGGCAAAAAAAATTGTAAAAAACTTTTTTCAAGTTTTTTTATTTAAAATCCAAATCAACTTATGTTATAATAAATTTTTAAAATATTGTTGTTTGTTTTTTTTTCTGTTTTGATGTGTTTTCTTTTACCTAAAAAAGGGTTTTTTTGTTTTATTCTTAATTAATCCTTCTTTATTTTTTTTTTTTTTTTTTTTTCCTTTTTTTATTTTTTTTTGTTTTGTGTGGTTTTTTTTTTTTTTTTTTTGTTATCAGGGCCCCATTCATACCAGCCCCGCTGAACTAGGCACCCCTGACTAAATATTATTTGAAATAAAATAAATAAAATGTTTTGATACAAAAGACTTACAAATTTCTTAACAACCGTGACTTTGTTGGATGGGATTCCACATAAGATCACATTATTCAGAACGAATCAAACTCCTGGATGATCTATAGACTATGTTAAGGTTGCGCGTGAGACTATGTCGATTCTGTCTTGAATTGCGTTATGGGACATTTGGGGACCTTGCCTATGAAGCAATTAGTTGCTTATTAAAAGGTTGGGTCTGTTCGATAGTCTCCATTCTACAGCATAATGGCGGTCGGCCATGTTTTACAAGAGCTCCCGCTCTTGCAAATGTCTACGCAAGAAAGGATCCGAGAAGAACGTCTAGGATAAAGAATGGTTACAGAAAACAAGCAGCTAACTGTGAAACAGCCGTGGACAAGTGAGTTTTTGCCCGCCATCGAGTATGTCCATTTCCGCGTTTTTATAACTTCTTTTGCCGTGTGAATTAGTAAATAAGCAACAGCCATCTCGAAAGCTTTGCTACTTTGGCTGTTGCAAACTGATTTAAAAATTGTAAATGTTTACTTGGATAATCTATTCTATTTTGTTCTCTATAGTTTCTTGTATTTTTTTCTCTTTAATAGTTTGAAAGACTACATTATTTGAGGGATAAGTTCCCAACTATTTCCCACTTTAGTCTGAGTGACTCTATTCAGGATTGTCTGTATATTCTTTGGTAACTAAATGGACCTTGTAATCACGATGACCGCCATCTTTGCACACGCTTTAGGACTGATAACGCTGATTTAGCAACAGAACCGGGACGTCAGTTGACGACAGCGCGCACAAATCAAACAACTGGCTTGACCAATGGCAGAGCGGCAAATTGGGCACCGGAAGTCGAGTTTAGTCCTTTCCGCGCGCTTTCCCGCCGTCAAATGACGTTTCCGTTCTGTTGCTAAATCAACCTTTTAAATTAAGCAACGTCAGGGGGCAAGCACGTAATAAAATTTGCAAGTTCGAGAAATCGCGTCGAGTTTGTTTACAGTTCTCTCAAACATGACGACGATTTAACGGTTATTTCAAATGTTCCGTTCGAGTTTCGCCAAGTTTTACGTCATTATTGCCTGCCTGTGGGGGCACTGATCTACGGTTGCTACTGCATTCAAAAAATGTAACAAATGATCACTTTCACCCATAACTTGCAATTATCGTCTTGAATATAAAAATTTCTCCATTTTCGGGTGTCTAGAATAAAAAAAAACTGGACAGCGATTTCTTGTATTTGTAAATTTTTTTAAATGTTTGCCCACTGAGAAACTACGCCACTTTTTCGGACAGTGGAATAAACGCTCAAGCTCACGGTTCGAGCTGCCCACCCCGACATTAGCCCGCAAAAACAGCCATCTCTCCGGCCTCGCTCCTCGCCGCCAGGAACGTTTCGCAAGGAGGGACGTCTGCGCCTCAGCGACAGAAATTCCATACTCAGCGGCGGATCCAGGG